CTTAAATAGAAAACTATCTTACGATAGATTTTTACCCCAAAAGTTTTTTATTAAAATAAATTTCAAAAAAAATTATTTTTTTGAATTTTTTTTGATAAAAATCAAAAAAATCCGATAAAAATCAAAAAAATCCAATTTAAATAAAAAAAATCTGTTTTTTTTTATTTTTTTAAAAAAATAATTGATTTTTATCCACCCTCACAGCATCATTTAGGCAGCCTGGGATAAAGATATAAATGTAGGTATCATCAGCATATTGATGATGCCTAACCCTAGACCATTGGACCATCTCTCCTAATGGCCTCATGTAGATGTTTAAAAAGTGGGGAGTGAAGACCTAGCCATGTGGCACTTCATAGAGGGAGTGGGCTACAGGCTGGATCTCTTCCCCTTCCCATCACTACCAACTGGAGTAGGAGGAAGGAGGAGAACCAGCACAACACAGGGCTGCCCATTCCTATCTTCCAAAGCCAGTCAGAAAGGATACCATGATTGATCAAAGGTCACTGAGAGGTCAAGCGGAGCAATGATGGATGTACTGCTCCCCTGTCAAAGGTCATCCCAGCCAATGCCATTTCAGTTCCATATCCTGGTCTAAAAGCTTAGGGAACTCCATTGCCAAAACAGCCACAGAGTCAAGAAACTCAGGCACCAAAATTGCTACACAGCAGAGAAGCTGGTACGATAGCAACAAGCAACCAGTTGGAAAACTGATCCCTTTGATTATATAGCTCTAAACTAATTTTCCGTTGGTGATGTAGATTCCAGTACAAACTGATTGTTGACTGAAACAATATGAAGGTATGAATCACAAATCACCCATTTACTAGAATGTTAATTTGGTCTTCAGGATAATCTTTGGCAGTCCATGCCATGTCCAGTGGGATTTTTATGGGGCCAAAAACATTACTGAAGACACATAAGACTGCATGCTTTGTTTTGCAGCATGCCAGCTTCATTCTTATTTAAAATCTTTAAAAAAAACCAATAAAAAACAAAACACGGAAATAAAAAGGGTGGGACAAGAAACCCGATGAACACCAACCTACTTCTCACAGGATGTATTGGTCCTCTGAGAACCACATTGCCTGTTCCAATTTTATTGAAGAGTAGTTATTATCATAGGGACAAGAATAATGATTTATATTGTATTCTAATTAATATGTTGATTAAAGAATGAAACACCATATAGTGTAGGTTTGTACCTTTATATTTATATACTACATATGAAGTCTCACTAGCGCTTCAATGCATTGTGACCTACTGTATTGTAGGGTATACATAAAGGAAAACCAGATTGAGGAAAGAGAAACAATGTACTTACAAGATCTACTCTAATACACTTCTATGCTTCTAATAAAATATCAGGGAAAACATCTTAAAATAACAGGGGAAAAACTCCTAGAAAATAATGAGCGAATGAAAAATCTATTATGAAAGAAGATCAAATGCCTGATAAGATATGACTTCCAAGCACGACTATGTTTTGCAAGTGATAGGAGAATAGACAAGAAGAGCACATATCCAAGCATATCTCCCTGGATGGCTGGCACATTTACATCTATACTGACAACAACAGAAGGAAATAACTAGGCAATAATCTCTTCAAAATTCAGTGGAGGAAACATTCTGTCTTACTGGCTCCATTCAATGTTATTTTTTGGCCTAGATTCTTCTTTGTACCAATTTCTTTTTGGCAGCTTTGCTATTCCTTACTTATTTTGTAGCTTCTTTTTTTTAAACTGGGGATGAGCTGAAGCCTCAAAATATTTTTCTGGATTTGTTTCCTCATTTTGTGGCAGTTCTTGCACTCATGAATAGACTATTAATGGTCACAGTACACGACGAGAACCAGTACAGTGACAACATAGAACTTGAAATTCAGTGGATTATTTCAAATACAGACTTAAAAACTGTTTTAGAATTTATATTTAGGGGTGCTATTACCACCCTGTTTCCTTGTCCCCAGATGCAGGGTTGCAGAGAGCTAAGGCACATTTTTGCACATTTTATCAAAGGAAATACAGTTTTTCTAGAAACCGTAGTGGCTTTACTCTAGATTTTAGCCAGAAATTTGGCTGATGATTTGATAAACTTCAATGTGCTTTAGGACGGTATAATTTAAATTGACCAGAATGAAAGTAATTTTCATATCTTCCATTCCTATAATCCTTCTTTCCTACAGTTCTCATTTTTTTTCTATGCATAATTCCATAAATGTCACGCTCTGGAAATTTCTGTCTGACAAGACTAAGTTCTTTTAACACTTTTTGCTTGGTGTTATCTTATTTTGAAAAGGATAATCTCTCAGATGAAATTTATGGTCTAGGCTTGATTCTGTTTTCCTCATTAATCTGAGTAAATCCATAATTCACCTATAATGTAAGCAAAATTTCAATGTGGAAACATTTCAGTGGTCTAGGTTTTGAATTTGTACACAATTTATAATAGAATACTATAAAATGATCATTATTTTACTAATCAGCACAAGTACTGGAAAATTATAAAACAAGTAACATGATGTCCCCAACCTTTCTGGCTTGGCAGCCTGGTGGGGGGAGGAGAAGGGGTTAATTTCTTGTGAGTGGTAGGTAGACACCTGCCAATTGCTTGAGGGGAGCTTTGCACATGCACTCGTCCACTGCTCACATGGCCTGGTTCTGAACAGGCCACGGCCTGGTAGTGGGCCACAGCCTGGGGGTTGGGGATCCCTGTTCTAGATGTTTGGGATTTCAATTCAATTAGCATAGCCAATAATCATGTCTTAGAGAACATCTTGAGAATCTTACATTATCCATCAATGGAACAAAGATTACCAGCAAAGCAATCATGTTTCTCTGCTCAAAAGAAGTACATATATCTAAAATTGCAGTTTTATTAAAATAAAACGGTTATGTCCCCCTAATATTACTTTTTCTACACAGAAACAAAAGTGATAAGCTCTATTATTCATTGTTATGCACGGTGATAGGTTTCCCGAAAAGCTGTATTATTAGGGAATACCATATGTTTGACTATATGCATTATTTAAAATACAATCTCTGTCTCTGTCTCTGTCTCTCTCTCTCTCTCTCTCATCTATCTATCTATCTATCTATCTATCTATCTATCTATCTATCTATCTATCTATCTATCATGCCATTTTTAATACTTTAGAAGGAACATGAATATGGTTTCATTAATGCAGATACATTTCTAATGCAGAAAAGTGAAAAGAGCTTTTGGGCTCTTACGACAGAGCATCTGTTTGATTCCTTTTGTCCTTTCATCATAGGTAAAGATAAGGGAGGCATTTAATAAGCTTTTTACATTTATCATGAACAGTAATGGAAGTTTTTGTTGTGTGCAATTTTCATAACGAATATTCATATGAACTGTTGTTATAGACTGCTTTGAGTATATTATGGTAGGATAATTATCATTATTATCATCATGGGAGAAAGCGAGATAGGCAGGTGGAGTTCTCAGAGCATGTTTCCAGTGAACTGTCTCTCTTTCCAAAAAGAGGTTGGGTTTTTTCGGCCAGGACCATTTTTTTTTACAATATTTTTTGGCCTCTCAGGGCCCATATTGATTTTGAGTGATCATGTGATATATCACCAACGTAAGCAGGATCAAAATATTATGCTTTATAAAAATCCCATACTTTTAAGATATTTTTCTCCCTTGTTGGGGCAAAGATTGGAGCACTAAGGAAAAATGTCCATTTCAACAACAACCTCAACAACAAAAACTATACACAAAAGTCAAATCCCAAACTTCAGGGTGCAATCTACAATTGCCTGGACGCCACTGAAAGAGAATTGAAGGGCAGAGACCACATGAGGCCTGTGGAATTCCCATCCTATTTTAAATATCTTTCCCAACCCTTGTAAACTATGGTTATGCGTCTTTGGGCCATCCCATAGAATACGATTTTTAAGAGTATCTACAGCATTTTGAAATATGTGAAGCACAAACATTCAAAAGTATTACTAAAATACAATCATCATATTATCTATGTATGTATGACTGTATGTATGTATGTATGTATGTATTTTTATTTATTTATTTATTTAAGTTTAGGAGGAAGAAAATTAAATAAATATTAAATTCATTTAAATAAATATTTATCTAAATAAATAAATAAATATTGAATTAATTAACTAGTTAATTAATGGATGGATGAATGAATGAATGAATGAATGAATATTTAATCTTCTTCCTTCTTGAATTAACATTTTACTAAAAAACTAGTATGATGTGTGAAATTTTCATGAGAATGCAATTTTACACATTCTGATTGCAGTAGGAAACTTATGGTTTGGTATGTTTCAGACATATTAAAATAAACAATCTAAACTTATTTATTTTAAGTGTGTGGGTCAGCTAATGACAATTCCCTTTCCAAGACAATCAAGCATTGATGTATTAAAACTGCAAGTAAACTGGCATTGACCTGGCTGAATTTGCACTCAGTTTATACTAACATTTTCTCTCTTTTATATATATATAAAAAGAAAGAAAGAAGACCCCAGCTTGTTTTCTTTCTTAAAATATAGAATAAATCATTTAAAGAGACAAATGCTGTAGGTAAGAAAAAATTATTATCGCAATGCTAAAACTATTGTTGTGGTTTTCAAAAGCTTATGGCAAACGTATTATCCGAAAACAAGGTTTTTCCTTTTTCTGCCACTAATGTTGGTTTCTTTATTGCTATAATGTTTTTGTAATAAAAAAGATACTTTTATTATCTTTTATTAGGCAGATGCTAATATACAAATTCAGACACAGAGAATACTTGCTTTGGCCAGATGTACAAATGTCTTTATAACATGAACAATCCAACTATTTTTTTAAAAAAATCATGTTTCTGAAATATTTATAATATACAGTAAGACAATAAAAGCCGTTTGAAGCTTTTAAATGTTTGTTAAAAGTCATGTTCTGAAATACTTATAATTGGCATGTAAGAGATAAGAGCCATTTAAAATATAAAGGTATAAACCTTGGCTTCCTACCTGTTGGGGTGAGGTGCCTCCAGGTGATGACAGGTTCAGGACGTCCATTTGCCATACACACTAAGGTCACATTACTTCCTTCATTCACAGTGACATCTGAAGATATGTTGGAGATCTTTGGTGGAACTGCAGGAACAAAAATGATTGGTCAGAATTGGCCTTAAGTTGATCTAAAGTGGCATTTGGCATTTAATGCCACTTTGGCATCCAAAGTGGCATTAAATGTCTTAAAGATACAATTCTGAATCCTGCTGTTACGAATAAACAGGAGCAGAGTTTACAAATGGCATAAAAACATAATTCATGCCTTACTGAATGAACCATAATTGTTTGCTTGTTTGTTTGTTTTTACAGCAATTAAATTAAAATTAGTCAAACCATATTATGCCTTAGGCACGTTGAATGAATCACATCATGTTGTCCTACATCTCGGTCTCTTGCAGAGCTCCTTACAAGTTTTACTTAATTTGCTGGCTTTTTATACATCATCTCAAAATAATTTATACTATCTATGCTTATTCTACCTAAAGGTAGAGCTGGCTTTAAGTTTAGTTGAACATAAGGACTGAGGTTCACACATTTGTAATAAGTCGTAATTTATGATTTGCAAAATACAATGCATTTTAAGTTAGTACCAAATCATGTTACTGAGTGGAGTACGTGGACCTGATACATGGGCCTGAGCATTTTAATGTCTAATTTAACATTTTTTCCACAAATGAAATCAAAGTACCTGCAAGAATGAATATAATAACAGTACCTATGTTTAAGATATTTAACCAGATCCCTCTTATTATTTTCATTATAGTTCTGTCTTCAGGAATTTGCTGTGAAATATTTCACATAGTATATACTCATGTTTTAGTTTTAGTTTTCACTTCAAGACTCCTTATGGTTCTCTAAATAAAACTGAATCAAATAAAACTGATGCAATATGATATATTTCTACAGCCAAATATAATATTATATTTGGCTGTAGAAATGTAGCTGGGTAAAGAAAATGTATACAATGTCATGGCTCTTGCTGTTGTCAGAATTATGAGTCAACTTATAGAGCTCTGAATAGGAACTAAGATTCAATGATGAATTCTAATAAGTATGCAGGCCAAAATAACTTTGTGGAATCATCTTAAATAGTATTTTTAAGATGAGTATATACAAGAAAGAAGTAGATCAACCTAATGCTCTCTAGATATTTTGGATCATAACCACCACAGTCCTTGACACTACCAATGCTGCAGATGGTTCTGGTAAGTTTAATTCATAATATGTGGAGGACCTGGGACTACTTATACTAGTCTCTTGCACTTGAAAATTTCTTGGGTAGTGACTTTGTCTGCTGTTTTCTGACTCAAACTAGGTTCATTTAATTTTCTTTGTGTGGATAAAACTAAGACAAACTCTAGGAATTAATTTGAAAAGCAGGAATAAAAGAAACAGTAAGTATGGTGAGATGGACTTAATTTATTATATTTTTATACAACTTCATATAATTGTACTTCCAAAAGGTCTTGAAATTCTTTCCCTTGCCTGAAAGATACTTGAAATCCATCAAAGATACTTGGAATCCAATAGAATAGAATAGAATAGAATAGAATAGAATAGAATAGAATAGAATAGAATAGAATAGAATAGAATAGAATAGAATAGAATAGAATTCTTTATTGGCCAAGTGTGTATGGACATACAAGGAATTTGTCCTTGGTGAATATGGTCTCAGTGTACATAAAAGGAAAAAGAAAAAAATACATTCATCAAGAATCATAAGATACAACACTTAGTGATAGTCATAGGTTACTAATAAGCAATCAAATCATACTAGGAAAGAAACAGAACAATATAAATCGTAAAAGTACAAGCAACATGTTTAAAGTCATAAGTGGGAGGTGATAGGTAATAGGAAGGATGAGAAGAATAATAGTAATACAGTCTTGGTAATAGTTTGACTTTGGGAATTGTGGGAATTAGTTGTTTAGCAGAGTAATGACATTTGGGGAAAAAACTGTTCTTGTGTCTAGTTGTTCTGGTGTGCAGTGCCCTATAGCGTCATTTTGAGGGTAGAAGTTGAAACCGTTTATGTCCAGGATGTAAGGGGTCTGTAGATATTTTCACAGCCCACTTTTTGACTCGTGCAGTATACAGGTCCTCAATGGAAGGCAGGTTGGTAGCAATTGTTTTTTCTGCAGTTCTAATTATCCTCTGAAGTCTGTGTCTGTCTTGTTGGGTTGCTGAACCAAACCAGACAGTTGTAGATGACAGACTCAATAATTCCTCTGTAGAACTGAATCAGCAGCTCTTTGGGCAGTTGGGGCTTTCTGAGTTGGCGCAGAAAGACATTATTTGTTGTGCTTTTTTTTTATTTTTGACGTTAGGTGTCCATTTTAAGTCTTGAAATATGATAGAACCTAGAAACTTGAAGGTCTCTACTGTTGATACTGTGTTGTCTAGTATTGTAAGAGGTGGTAGTAGAGGAGGGTTTCTCCTAAAATCTACCACCATTTCTATGGTTTTGAGTGTATTTAGTTCAAGATTGTTCTGGTTGCACCACAAGGCACCACCATCTGTATGTAGATTCGTCGTTTTCACGAATGAGACCAATCACTGTTGTATCATCTGCAAACTTCAGTACTTTAACAGAGGGATCTTTTGAGATGCAATCTTTGGTGTATAGAGAGAAGAGAAGTGGAGAGAGCACACAGCCCTGGGGGATTCCTGTGCTAATTGTACAAGTATCTGATGTGATTTTGCTTAGCTTCATCTGTTGCTTCCTGTCTGTTAGGAAACTTATGATCCATTTACAAGTGTGGTCAGGTATAGCTAGCTGATTTAGTTTAATTAGAAGAATGTCTGGAATGATGGTATTGAATGCTGGCTGAAGTGTATAAAGAGAACCCTTGCGTATGTCTTTGGAGATTCAAGATGTAGGATGTAGTACAGGGTCATATTAACAGCATCATCTGTAGATCTATTTGCTTGGTAAATTGCAAGGGGTCTAACAGCAGATCTTTAATGGTTTTCAGGTGGGCCAGCACTAGCCTTTCAAAGGTTTTCATAACTACGGATGTTAGAGCAACCAAAACCTAAAAAATGGGGCTGAGTTTATGTGGAAAAAAAAGTTTTGCATCTCATCCATAAAATTCAATGGTTATTTTCCATTAAAACTGTTGTTCTCGTAGAAGTACCATATCAAAAAACATAGGTATTAATATATTAATAAAGCAAGATTGACTTAATATGTCGTGTCCTAAGTTCATTACTTCCATGTATATCATTTTAAAGACCATGATTACTGTTTAACTGAGAAACCTCTGCCTCACACTGTGTATTTATATCTGCATTTGCATTAAGCTCAGAGATAGAAATATCCTTCTATCCCATTCATTTCAGAGAAGAGAAAACTAACCTCCTTCACTGTACATAATTCAAGAGCAAGGGACAGCAAGGAAAGGCTGTCACAGAACACAGGAACCAGGATTAAGCAAGTGACAGAATTATTCAAAATTATTATTTCAGTTTTGACTGTGTGTATTAGTTTGTACATTGTAACCTACAATGCATTGAATAAAATAGAAGCATAACTATATGTTCCTATTGTAAAGATTAATATTGAAGTTTACTTGTCTTATTAAGAGTGTAACAATGTTCTGCTTTACTGAATGTAGTCTTCTGAAACTGAATTCAAAGCAATGAATTAAAAGCGAGATCTATGATTTCAAAATCATCATCAAACGATGATATATTTATTTAAATGTATCAGTCTATATAAGTGCATTTCAATAGTTCACTCTAAATTTAGTTAAAGATCAAGAACTATAAACAGAAGAGACCAAGGGGCTTATTATGACATATTTTGACAGGGCATAAAACAACATACATTTTCATAATGCTAAAAATGTTCCATTGCTGATTAATCCATAATAATTATTTCCATATTTGCATATAAATATCAATCAGTAAATTAAAATACGATGCAACTCTGCTTTATAATCTTATCCTCTTTCTCAGTGATTCCTTCCTTCTTGCTGAAGGACTCATCATCACAGCGCATTATGATGCTGATGGTTCTTTCTTATCTACTATATGCTATATTAATTTAGCCTTGAATTTGCCCCTCCCTTTAATTTTGCCCTTCCCTCTCTGTTTTTTTAAAGAGAGCATTTGTTATTTTGATTAAGTAACTAGGGTTTTTTTTTTTCATTTAAATAAACATTCTACGAGATATAGGTATGAATTAGTCCCGAAAGCCAAAATTTCTAATGTAGATATGGGATGGAAGCAAAACAAATAATAAGACATCAAAAGAAAGGGAAAAAGAAGGGAAAGATGATGGGAAGATGGGGAGGTAGAAAGCTGATTATGAAAAATCAGAAAATAAGCACAGCCCCTGAAAAATCAGAGAAATTTAAACGTATGCATTATCTTCGAAATTAAACCTGGTTGTTACTTGGAATTCAGTTCATATGAAGCAATTAACAATTACCTCTGAATAAAGATGAATGTATCTGGACTATAAGTGGAAAGGGATCTTGATTTACTCATACCTGGAATCCCTTCACTAGGTAGTGAACTGTACAAAACACAAGGGCATTCCCTTCCTTCCTTCCTTCCTTCCTCCTTCCTTCCTTCCTCTTAGAACCTTCCAGAACTGGTGAGACTAAACTTTTTGGAAGACAAAGGGAATTTGGGATCAAGGAATGAAATTGTGAAAATGGGCATTTAGCATCTTTTAAAAAATGTCCCAAAGATTGAAACACACACCTACTCTGATTTCTAATGCTTTTCTCTCTTAAAATGAAGAAAAAAGGTGCAATATTTGCCCTCTAGCAGTAGAGGGTGCTGAAATACTGGAAAAAAAAATAATAATTTCACCCTCTGCTGATGAAAGAAAAAAATGCATCTATTTTTAAGAATGAAAGAAATTGCTGTTATCACCCACCTCCCTCCTGTTTTATTCAGACATGAATAAAAAATTTAAAACATAAGTTAAAGATTAATAATAAAACTAAACAAAATGCCACATAAAACGTGAGGTGGCCCTTAAGGTGATGACAAAACAACTCCTAAGAGTAAAAATGTTCTGAAGGACAAAGGCCTAGGAACTTCTTCCATCATTCCAGTCTATGAAC